GGAATGTATGTGTAAAAAAATATATAATCCAAAAGAAAACCCTCCACTGCACCCATACAGAAGAACTTATACAGAAGAGAATAGCACTGCTACTGCTTTACTTAAATAAATCAGCTGATTTATGCTATCATGTCTTCCTGATCTTTTCCTTCAATCAAAAACTCCTACTGAAACCTGCTGGATTCAAAAGCAATAGCAGAAAATAAATATATAAACAGTCCTAGAGTTATTTTTTTATGAAATTATTATGCAGCAGTGCTTGAAATCAATATGTCACAATTTCTGGAACTATTTAATTGCTTCTGCCCTTGAAGTTAGTTCTTATTTGTATAAAATACAGGCAAAATGTTCACCCCACAGTAACAGACAATCAGATGCTAGTATTTAAAAGATATTCTCCACATACATTATTTTGGTTTTGTAGTATATAAAACGGGGTTTTTTTTTTTTTTAAAGTCTATGACTTTTTAAAATTACATTTTGAGTTATGCAAATCCTGCTTCAGGAAAATCCCTTTTCAGTTACTTCTATTTTCTCAAATATGTAAATTGTAACCATAAGGAATAATACTGTACTTTTGCAAAGGGAATGCATTGTTTGACCTTAGTTTAATGCCACATATTTTAATGATGAGGTTTTCATACCTCTGGAAAACATGTTCAAACATGTCCATTGAAAAAAAACCCAAGGCTTGTCTTAAGCATTTTCAACTGTGCTGCCCTCTGCTGATTTGCACTGCAAAATGTGTGACTGGCAACGCAATTTGCAAAGCTGTTTTATAATGTAAATCAGAAAAAAAAAAGTTTCTTTATAGTTAGATGTTCTTTTTACAATATAATTAAACTTACTCATGTGAGATGGAAGATTATAAGGTTATCTCTTCACTAGAATTTGCATATGGCTGTTTACAGGCTCTCAAAATCATGTGGTGATCAGCTAGGGCAGGGGTTCTCAAACTAGGAGTCGGGACCCCTCAGGGGGTCATGAGGTTATTACATGGGGGGGGGGTTGTGAGCTGTCAACCTCCACCCCAAACCCCACTTTCCCTCCAGCATTTATTATGGTGTTAAATATATAAAAAAAGTGTTTTTAATTTATAAGGGGGGGCGGGGGGGGGGTTGCACTCAGAAGCTTGCTATGTGAAAAGGGTCACCAGTAAAAAAGTTTGAGAGCCACTGAGCTAGGGTGACCAGATGTCCCGATTTTTGGGTCTTTTTCTTATATAGGCTCCTTTTACCCCCCGCCCCCACTCCCTCTCCTGATTTTTTACATTTGCTGTCTGGTCACCCTATGATCAGCTAACCTGTACACCATTGCCTAAAACTGATGATTTTTGCCCCTCCCCACTCCCTCAAATTGGTGGTGGCACAGATTTGGAGCTGCTCTGTAATAAGCACATTTGAGCCATTGGGTGTTATAGCCCAGGACCTAGACTAAGAGTGGGAGAATTGTGTGATTCAACCCCTGGGAAAGTAAAGGCAGGAGGTGTGAGACCAGGGGGGTGCCCCCAAGATCAGAGATTCAGCTAGTCCTATAACCATGACAGGTATTTTAGCATGTTTGGATGGCCCCAAGAACTGGGTCCATGTTTACAGTACATAGAATATCTTTAAGAAGACCCTTGTATTCCTTCTAATTTTTGAAAAAAGATACTTATTAGTTCTCATTTTTTAATTATAGTTCTGGAGCCTTAACATTCCATCTCTCCTGGAGGACATTTCTCTCTTTGCAGGGTGAATCCATAGAGTTCCTGATTTTATTTAGTTTTTTTAAATAGAGTCCTATAGGACAGGTGAAATTTTAAAGCTTCAGGACTCCATTCCATTAGCCAACACTGTTTAAAAAATTTTTCACCCTGAAAACTGAGACATCAGCTTACCAGTTTGTTTTTATTCCAACATAGCACAATATATTTGTTCTGTAGGGACACTCGTGAATGACAGACTGCACTTCACAAAGTTGTCCTACGTGTTTGTACTGTGGAAGCCTGGCCGACTTACTGCTGAATCAGGTCCTAAACCATCAGCTGTTTTTCATAAATAGAATTGTTTTTAGAACTAACCTGCCACTCCTAACTGATGTGTGGCATACCCTGGTAACCTGCTGTGCCCTTCTCCTAGCCACAGGGTCAGCGTGGATGAGTCTGATTCTGCATGGTGGAAAGTAAAGCCCTGCAAAGCAGCAGTGGCTATAAATTTGCTTTGGAGAATAGGAATGTGCAGCCAGACTGCTATTCTGCCTTCTGCTCTCCATTGCTTGATAGACGCTGGAAAAAAAAAGATAACATAAAACTCATTGTATACTTTCAAATCAAGAAAACAGATGGGAAAATAAAAGCGGTTGTCCTCTGATGGCCACTCTCCCCCCCCCTTTTTACTAAATTCTTTAGTTCTGCTGAACATAATAGCAGAGCTTAATGTAGAGTAACAGCAGTAGTCAGAAAAGTGATTGTGAAATTATATTGTGGCATATTCCATATTCATTCTCTTTTAGGGCTTGATTTCTAAAGGTTTTCAAGCTGGCCTCAATTATTGCAGGAGCAAATAACAGGTGAAAAAATGTAGGTGAAATCTGATTGCAAAAAGGGGGTATGGCACTGAAAATCTGACTCAATTTCTATTCATACAATTTACTCTGTTTACAAATCAAAAACTTTGCTTTCAAGTGTCAATCATGCAAATTGTACCTGGGATCTAAAAATTCATCTGTGTCCTTTCTGCTTCTTACATGATCACTAGTAAAAAAGATTCTCCAGATAGGATTTATGTGATGATTTTGTTGAGTACGAATGATAAAGAGTAGAATCTAGTTCACTTTTCCACAGCTGTATTAACTTTGCAGAGATAACAGTAGTAACTTATTTTTGTCAGAGAACACAGGCCCCAATCTTGCAAGCACTTAGGCATGTGCTTAACTTTCCATCATACTTACATAGCCCTCATCTCTGCAATATCTGAACACCTCACAATCTCCAATGTGATTATCCTCACAGCACCTCTGAGAAGCAGAGTAGTACTATTATCCCCATTTTACAGATGGGGAACTGAGGTACAGAGAGGTTAACCGATTTTGCCCAAGGAGGCACACAAAGTCCATGGCAGAGCACAGACTTGAATTCAGGTCTTGCAAGTCCTAGGAAGGAGCTCTAACCAGTTGTCCATCCTTTCTCCATTGGGACTACTCCCCATAGTAAAGTTAATTCCATGCCTGTTTGCTGGCTCAAGATATTGATGAATCAGACTCATATATACAGAGACAACTAATAAGTAGAAGAATAAACTGCCTTATTTGCAGTTTCTTCTTTGACTATAGGTACAATCCCAGTTTTAATTCAAATAACTGTCTTCTCATAATAATTTTGGGTAACAGTGAAAAAAATTTCCTTAATTAAGAATAACAATGAAAACACATCTCCAAAGAAGATGGTAACTGGCAGTAAGGACACTCATTTTGAACATGCAAATAACTGAATAGTCTCTTGATCAGTCAAGTTATTTGCTACTATCACTGGAAATTAAAGTACAAGAGATATTTATAATTGTCTAAACAGTGGCTCTCCCGTATTGTGGTTTACAATATTATGTTGTTTGTAGGTTTTTGGTGGAACTTTATATACATTTTGCTTACAGCTTTACACAATGGATAATACAGATTCTGCGCTTTGCATGTATTCACTTTTTTTCCTCCAGTAGTAATAGAAGTTAAAGGTTGAATTCTGTGTTGTGCAATTGTAAACCCAAGGTTACACAATTATGCCATCCCGAGGAAAGAATTAGATTGGAGGCTAGTAAGCCAGCTAGATAAGTATGCTTTCTCTTCAGAGTCAAGAATGACAGGTAGATGTATATAAGGACATTTCAAGGGATTAAAAAATGGCCTTTAGAAAAGGAACATTAGGACTTAAAATTTGACAAGCAAAATTGGATAATATACCATTAACAATTTAAAATTAAAACTTTTTAAAAACACAACTTACTTGTAATTAATGGCTCTCCCCCCCCTGCTGAATTTATATTGGACAATAAAAACAGATTCCTCAGTTACTCTTTCAAATTGGTATCTGATTGCATAAGGCTGCTACTGTTGGGTTGCAGATCGCAAAGAGCAATGTTTAAATCTAATTTAAAAAAAGATAGTTTCAAACTGAAATAAAGGAAGCCATGCAAAATACACGCTCCTGGGTGCTTTATAAAATCTCAGCTGGGGGCATTCAATATACCAAATTTTAACCACATAATGAATAAATTACTTTAGTTGGGCCTGGTGGTGCCAATGGTCTTCCAAGTGAGGAAGTAGTCCCAGTGAAGGCAATGGGAGGTTTGTGTGAGTACAGGATTACTGGTAGTGTTTGTTATTAGTGTGTGGTTTATGTATGTTGATACCCCTGCTTCCTCCTGTAAAGATTAGAGAGCCCTGGCTGGGGGAAATCCTGGGCTCAGTTTAGTCAGTGGGAGTTTTGCTACTGGTCGCAATGAGGGGTGGGGAGATCACTTCTTTACACAAGACCTGATCTTCTGTAGCTGCTGCCCTCCAGCTCAGTCCCCTTGTGCCCACCGGGGCAGCGTGTGGCCCTTCAGGCTGCTGCGCGGGCCCCGTGGCCCTGAAATGCACTTGCCCTGTAGCCATCTCTGGAAGGTGACTTGGTCCAGGCTGTCTGGCGTGTGAAGCTGAGCCAGGTGCACGGTTACGCCGCCAAACTTATCCAGCTGTGGTTGGAGCCCGGCTGGCGCCAGGCTGCAACCGGCTAAGCTCCCCAGGCGGCGGCCGCACAGAGGGACTCGGGCCGGCTGGGGCCTTGCCCCGTTCGGGGCGCGCCGTGCAGCGAGACCCCAGCGCAGCGCCCGGGCCCCCAGCATCGCTCTGCGCCGGGGGGCAGCGGGCAGGAGCCGAGGGCTGCTGCTGGCAGGCGGGGCGGGGACTAAGGGGCGGCGCCGGCCTTTGCACTCTGATTAGGAAGCACTTCCAGGGGCTGCGCACGTGTTCGCTGCCGGGCCGGTTCCTTCTGCCATGTCGGCCCCCAAAAGAAAGAGCAGGGGGCGGTTGCCCCCGGAGAGCGGCTCCCCCAGCGTCACCCCGGAGCCGGCGGAGCGGCCCCCTGCTCTGCTGACGCTGGCTGCTGCAGACTTCTTGGAAAAAGGTACGGTGCGAGCGGCAGGCGCTGTCTCTCCAGCCAAGCGGCTGCGGCTCCCTCGCTATGCCGGGGGCAGGAGGGGAAAGGTTGCTTGACACACCTGCCCCCAGCAAAATCGTCCTTCCTCTGTGCCTAGGGGAAGAGAGTTTAAACCCTGTAGAATAGTTATGGGGGAAAGAGGATTTTCAACAATCCAGTTTGCTTTCCCCCTTTCAACTGTTTGCATTTTTGTAACTTTCCTGGACCAGTCGATTTTCATGTTGTGTTACAAGACATTAGCACAACTTTGGGGTTGTAGCATTTTAAACGCGCTTAAATTCAAGTAAAGCTCTCTCTCTCTGTGTGTATGTGTATTGGGGGGGAGGGTCATGCAGTTTCAAAAATTCGGTTTTTAAAAGCCCACATTTTGGTACTACACTGCTAGACCCGACGGTGCCCTCTTCAAAAAACAAACACACAAGCAAACAAAAATGTTATGCGCCATCTGAGATGCAAGGTTGCATACAAACATTTACTATTAGTTTGTATTTATGGATCGTTTAATCAACATACATGGTGCTGTTGATCTGGTAAATTATGCAACATAAATAAGACCGTAGCTGTTCTAAAGTAAAGCTGCAACTTTGCCATTGGTGCCCTACAGGGCTCTGTTTTGATCATATGCTCGTGCAAAGGCATGCTGGCATAGATCTGATAGGATTGGAACCAAAAGGCACATCTGCTACAATGCAACACAGTGTATATAGTATGGAATAAATATAGGCCCTAATCTTGCAGATACTCTCACATGTGAGTTATTCCCATTGATTTTAATGGGACTTCTTATGTGTAAACATTTGCAGGATTGGAACCATATAACTGTGTTCTTCAGTGTAAAACAGACACTAAAAGTCTTGTACAAGAGTAGGCTACCACTACTGAGGTTGGCTATACCATTAAATGGAGCTTTGGGATTTTTAAAAAATTGTGTATTTTCTGTTTGCAACTCTATTTATTCGAACATAAATAACTCCACAGAAACTACTAAGTAAAGTTAAAAGCTAAAACAACAAGGAGTCCGGTGGCACCTTAAAGGCTAACAGATTTATTTGGGCATTAGCTTTCGTGGGTAAGAAACCTCACTTCTTAAGTTACCCATGAAAGCTTATGCCCAAATAAATCTGTTAGTCTCCTCTCCAAGTTAAAAACTAAGTAAGAAAGCAGTAATGTTAAATGATTTAAAAAAAAAAAGTCATGCTCATTGCTCCTTTAAGAATGAAAGTATACTGTTCTGTTTTTGCTTACCCTCTTCCTGCTGCAGCAGCTCCCAATTAAACTGAACAATTCGTTAGTAGACTGAAGTAATTAAAAAAAATATTGCTCTGTTGCAGAAATATTTTCATAGAGACATGGCTCCTGGGTTGTGCTGTTCTTTTCAGTGGCCGTCTGCCCACCACATTAGATATTGAAAAGATCATGAGATTGGTAATGGGACATGCAGACCTCCTCTGTATCACTGGTTCAAATCTGGAGCAAGGTGATAGTGACCAAAAGTTATAATCTTATAGCTGTTCAGAAACTTAGCTGGATAGGACAAAATTGTCCCGTCTCAAAAATAAAAATAAAGACTGAATGGCTGAAGAAACTGGCTTTCAAGGAAGATTAAGAGGAGTTGTAACCTCTTCCATCTGAGTGGTAGTCGAAAGGCAGCACATGTACTCAAGCTGCCTTGAAATTAATTGTGGCTATATGTCCAATTCCTCATGTGCTAAAGCCACAAAACCCACCATTATGATTCACTCTCTAGCCTTAGAATTGAATAAGTGTAGATACTGAACAGGCATGCTTGTTTTTGTAGTGTAGTGAATTTTACAGCAGGGGTAATGACAATGCAACTGCTTCATGTCAGAACAGAGGAGTTTTGTTTGCAGTCTTGTCCCTCTGAGTTGGCACATGTTATAAGCACTAAGTTCACTTATTGTACAAAAGAGTGACATATTTTCTCTAATATTTTAGCAGATGACAAAGTTCCTACAATGTACAGAAGAGTTCTTGTGCAACTAGGACTCAACAGTATGAAATCAGCAAATATATGCATAGGTCGACCAGTCTTGCTTACCAGTACAGATGGAAAACAAGAGGTGAGATTTCTTTTCCTGTCTGTTAGGCTAATTTTGTGCTTGGCTAAGTGGTGGATTGGAGTTAGGTCACAAGTGGGAGATGAGTTTGGAGATTTCAGAATTCCAGTTTTGAATTCTAGTTCTCCACACAATTTAGTGCAGTTATGTGTTATACTTCAGGATTGGAAAAGCAGATGAATTGTGCATCAGGCTGTTTTTGCAGCTTGGTGTTGAGACTTGTGCACAGCTTCTGATTGCTCTTTGCCTGGATTTAGCTAGTGCCATTAAAAGTCACTCCATTTTATTTATTTATTTTTAAATAGTGAAAGGGAATGAACTCCAGACTGTTGACGATGCTCTTCCATTATCTACAGAAAAACTCTACCCTTAGTTATATATTCTCTCTCATTCACAAAATTTAAGCCTTACATTTTTAGAAAGCTTGTTAGTTCAGCCCTTAAGGAGTCCAGTGCTAATTGCCTTGCATTTTAAGTGTTTGTGGAATATGTCATTTTAACACAATCCTTAATCCCTTGTGGAGTTTGACTCAAAAGGCATGAAGGGTATTTCACCTTTCATTAGGGAATGACAACCAAAAAAAAGCTCTTAATCACCAAGTGTGTGTGGTGGTTTTCTTTTTTTTTTTTAATCTTTTTAATTTAATTTGAAACTCTCTGTAGGTCTGTACAGCTTGGCCAGTTGCAGGCTTCCCAGGAGGGAAAGTTGGCCTAAGTGGAATCACTCAGAAGAATCTGCGAGTGAAACCTGGTGAGGCAGTCACTGTCCAGCCTGTGGTCGGTGCAGTGGTGCAGGCAGAAGAAGTAGATGTGAAGCTGAGGTTTGGAATTTTTCTGTGAACATTACCTTACCTCCCAGTGTGCAAACTTGATCTAGAACGCACAGATTCTAGAACATAAAGGCCTGTTGTAGGTGGATGCAGGTCCATTTTGCGTTTCAATTAGACTACTCATGTGCTTAAAGTATTGACAGGATTGGGACCTAATATTGTTTTGAGAAGTAGCATAGTACTGCCTCTTGGAACCCCTCCTGGACTGGAGACCTGTGGGATTTCTGCACTCAGAAGATTTTATGAGTTGCGCTTTAGCTGAATTGATTGAAAAATTTAATGTAGCATGTACCATTTATAAATTGCATATTTGTGTCTCAGTTTTCAGGAAACTAATAGGCACTTCCTGCTGTCTGGGTGCTGCAAAATGGCATTAACAGGAGTCTCGGTGATACTAAACTGAGCGGAATAGTCTGACTGGGTTTGAAGGAGCTCCTGTTCCCTAAGTTCTTTTAGTATAGTCTCAGATTCCCTACCTCCAGGAGGGGTTGAGGATAGCAGCACTGACCACTTAACTGGTTGCTTTGGGGCTTTCCAAACCCATCCTGCCCAGCTGGTATATCGAGATGTGCTGTCTTCTTGTAGGATCAGCGTGTGTCCTTGAGGGCAATTTCCCTGAAGCTTTCCAGGAGTCTCTCTTGGGAGCCATAGAGCCGCTGACTGCTGTCTCCCAGCAACAGTCTGGAACATCCTGCTTTAAAACCCTTATGCCACCCTTGGCCAGAGGGGCAGGGCCAGCCCTGCCCACGTTAGCTCTTCCATCCCTGTGACACTGGTATGGGGTTTGTACACCCCATCACAATTTGTTGTTGATAATCCAAAAGGAAAAATAAAATCACAAAGGGAAGCGTGTCAGGATAATAGGAAATGGGAGCTAGCAGGTGTTTTGTATATTTATTAGTTTCTTGACCTAATATCTCCTTTAGAAACAGAAGAACAGGAGTACTTGTGGCACCTTAGAGACTAACAAATTTATTAGAGCATAAGCTTTCGTGGACTACAGCTCACTTCTTCGGATGCATGTAGAATGGAACATATATTGAGGAGATATATATATACACACCTACAGAGAGCATAAACAGGTGAAATATCTTGAGCTATCTTGATTATCACTTGAAAATTTTTTTTTCTCTTAATTAATTGGCCTCTCAGAGTTGGTAAGACAACTCCCACCTGTTTATGCTCTCTGTATGTGTGTATATATATCTCCTCAATATATGTTCCATTCTATATGCATCCGAAGAAGTGGGCTGTAGTCCACGAAAGCTTATGCTCTAATAAATTTGTTAGTCTCTAAGATGCCACAAGTACTTCTGTTCTTCTTTTTGCGGATACAGACTAACACGGCTGCTACTCTGAAACCTGTCATTTAGAAACAGAGGTTGTGCTAAGTTGGTTCAGGCAATTCTTTATGACCATAAGATCAAAAAAGTTTATAACTTGGTTTCAGGTTATTTTAAAGGATGAGCATGGTCTCTGCTTGAAAGAAATGCCGTCAGGTTAAAAGTAATATTAGAAAAAGTCGTTACTTGTGATGTAAATATTGTAATTAAGAGGCTGATGCTGCAAAGTCGTTACTGATAGAGTAGTTGAGCCCAAAAGAAATATTTATGTGAGTGTGGAGTATTCACATTAGGAATGGTGAAATAATTTTACAAATCTAACTTCCCTTTAAAAATGTAAATAGTCTCTGGCAATGCTGTTAGTGTAGATTTTGCAGTTGCTTAGGTAAAGCAACTAGACTTGAGCCCTGTGATTTTGTATAATTGTCACAGCTGTCTGTGCTCTCAGAAGACTATAGGATCAAACCTGTGGTTCATCTAGTCCTGTATCCTGTCTTGTATAGTAGCCAATACCAGATGCTTCAGAGGAAGGTGTAAGGAATCTGAGAGTGGACAGTTAAGGTCAAGCTTTTTCTAACTCCAACAGTTAATGCTTGGTTTAAGCCTTGAAGACCACCTTGCAGACCGCTGCTATTGTCTCAGGAATCAAACTGGGGTATATGTGTGTAAGTGTGCAGTTATCCACAGGGCCACTGTTTGTAGCCCAATCTGGAATGCAGCTTCCACTTGCCCTCATGAGGTCTGCTGCTATTTGTCTTCTGTAGAGCCTGAGTTCCCAGCTCTGCATAGTATGTGGCATGGGGAAGCGGGAACTGGCCCTGGGGAGCCCCAGGTGGCGTAGTAGCGTTCCAGCCTTTTTCCACACTCTTGGTGTTGGACTGGTAGAATAACCAAAGTTAAGGGGACATAGGAAGGAAAACAGTGTCCCTGTCTCTACTTCAGTGTTAGCTTTAACAATTTTACCTTGCCTCTTGGAATGTTTCACATTTTGTTAACCTCATAAATCCAGGAGTTCAGTTTTATGTGAGAATCTCAGCTTTCCTTTAATTAAAAAAAAAAAAATGTAGCCCTCGTAGGGTTGCCAGTCTTGGTTGGACGTATTTCTGGAGGTTTCATCACATGACCTCTTTAATTAAAGATTAATCTTTAATTCCTGTAGTCTCCAGGACAGTCCTGGAGTGCTGGTAACCTTTTGTGTGGAGAGAAAGTTGAAAATATGAACCCTAAAGACTCATGACACAAGAAAGCAAATAAAAAGAACCTAACATTGATTATGTTTTAAAAGTCACGATTTTCAAGTCAGTCTGACAATTTTGTGGGCACTGACTCGTGGTGTGTGTATGCTTGAGGTGAGCAATATTGCTAGCCTGTAGATAAACAACTCTTTGAAGAACTCTCTCCTGCCATTGGTTCTGTGTGGGAAGCTGTAGACACAGGATAGGATGGTGGGAGCAAGGCTCGGAGGCAGAGGAACAGAGGACAGACATGGGGTGATGGATCTGGGCCCAGAATGGGAAAATGGGGGAGCACAGTGCAGGGGAGATGGGTGCAAGGCGAAGGCCCAGGAGGCCAGGGAAAAAGGCAGGGAAGCAGTGCCTAGGGAAGAGACAGGACACAGTGTGTTTGTAAGGTGGTTAGGAGGCACCATGCATTGGTGTTTGGGAGGAGTTGAGGAGAGCACTCAAGGTGCTTGATGGGGTGGTATTGGGTGATGGGATGAAGGAGCAAACTGTGAGGAATGACCTTTCCATCAGACAGGAAGAATAAGGGATGACACTATCATGTTGAGTGCAGCTTTTTTACATTTCACTTTGAATTTTCAACTTGCAACTTAGACAAGGGGAGGAGGAGTAAACACACCAAAACGAACAGGCTTTAAAATCATGAGGCTACTTGATTTTTTTTACTTTTTTTTTAATCTTTTTTGATTTTTGTTGATCTGTCTCATGATTTTTGATCTTGCAGTATTGACAATACTTCACTGATATAACGTGGGTTGGTGGGGAATGTTTCAGTTCAAACATTTGTTTTAAAGATTCCTGGAATATTAGTTTTTATTACCGTGTGATATTAATTTTTGTAAACTATATTCCCTATCCCTGCCCAACCCCTGAATTTCAGGTCTAACCATATGATTGTCCCTTTGAATATGGAGAGGCTAACCTCATACAAATTGGCGTGCCAGAAATGATGGCAAACACATTTTAATACTCTAGAAAGTCAGGCACACACTGCCAGTGTCAGTAACATAATCAGGCCAGTTGTCCTACTCTAATTATTCTAGATGAGTTTGCTGTATATTTCACAAACTCCTGTTACTAACTCCATATGGTATGCTTGCTATTCTTTTTTTCTAATAAGGAAAAAAAACATATAACTACCGTTTTAAGCTACAGCAAAGCAAAGGATATGGAAAGCTTGCCTAGTGTTACATGCCCCCCTTAGTTTAGTTAACTGGTAGAAAATACTCATTTCATTTAAACCCTCCACCAGAAAGGTAGGTGTTTTTAAATAAAGTTAATAAAATAAACTTAGTGTCCGTATGTGTTGTATGTGAATACTATACATCATACCTTCCTGTGTTTTCAGCTGTAACATTTTTATGAAATAGATTTTCCTTAAAAGAGAACTGCCACTGGAATTCTTCCTAATTTCTAAAATACTTTTGGTTATAATCTTTTAGAAACTTTTCCTAAGCAGAATGCTGAGACTTTTCCTAAACCAGATTTTCCCCCTCCATTATGTTTTGTTCCAGTTGCTGGGCTTCTAGAATTATTCTATTAATATGTAAAGAAAGAAATGGTAGGCTAGATCCTAAAGTCACTTTAATTGCTTCTGGCCTTAGCACTATCATTTCTTGTAAGACTACCAGATTTGTAAAATAAATATTAATGTAGTCCCTCCTCCTGTAAGCAGTTCTATGCTTTCTTAATTTTGTGCACACATGTCATCTAAATCAGTGTTTCTCAACTTTTCCAGACTACAGGATTCTAATTTGTCTTGCATACCCCAACTTTCACCTCACTTAAAAAGTACTTGCCCACATCTTGAATACTGTGTGCAGACGTGGTCGCACCATCTCAAAAAGATGTATTGGAATTGGAAAAGGTTCAGAAAAGGGCAACAAAAATGGTTAGGGGGTATAGAACGACATCCATGTGAGGAGAGATTAATAAGACTGGGACTCTTCAGCTTGGAAAAGAGACGGCTAAGGGGAGATATGATTGAGGTCAATAAAATTGACTGGTGTAGAGAAAGTAGATAAGGAAGTGTTGTTTACTACTTCTCATAGCACAAGAACTAGGCGTCACCAAATGAAATTAATAGGCAGCAGGTTTAAAACAAACAAAATGAAGTATTTCTTCACACAATGCACAGTCAACCTGTGGAACTCCTTGCCCCAGAGGATGTTGTGAAGGCCAAGACCATAACAGGGTTCAAAAAAAGAACTAGATAAATTCATGGAGGATAGGTCCATCGATGGCCATTAGCCAGGATGGGCAGGAATGGTGTCCCTAGCTTCTGTTTGCCAGAAGCTGGGAATGAGCGACAGGGGATGGATCACTTGATGATTACCTGTTCTGTTCATTCCCTCTGGGGCACCTGGCACTGGCCACTGTCGGAAGACAGGATACTGGGCTAGATGGACCTTTGGTCTGACCCAGTAGGGCCATTCTTAAGTTTGTATGTTGTTATGTACAAAATTAGATCTAAAAATACAAGTGTTACAGCACACTATTACTGAAAAATTGCTTACTCTTTCCTTTTACCATATAATTATAAAATAAATCGATTGGAATATAAATATTGTACTTACATTTCAGTGTATAGTATATAGATCAGTGTAAAAGTCATTGTCTGTACGAAATTTTAGTTTGTACTGACTTTGCTAATGCTTTTTATGTAGCCTGTTATAAAACTCGGCAAATATCTAGATGAGTTGATATACCCCCTGGAAGACGTTTGCATACCCCCAGGGGTATCCGTATTCCTGCTTGAGAACCACCGGTTTAAATGACTGCAAGAGTTTTACTTAGATGTGTAAAGGTAATTAAATACATAAGTGTTTGCTGCATTAGGGTCATAAAATTATATGGCGACTTGAAGTTTCTCAAAAATGTATGATATGTTTCTTGTCCTAGAATTTTCTCCTTGATCAGTAAAAATATTTGGGGAAGAGACTTTGTGATTAGTAGACTTAGAACTCCCTCTGTTGACCATAATTTTAGTTGCAGTTTCTGTATCTGGTATGTTTTCTTTTAAAAAGGTAAAATGTTTTGGTTGAATTTATGTCTTTGAGAAGCACCTTCCTTTCTTTTAGTGTAAAGGGAAAAAAAGGATAGTTTGTGATGATCACCTACAAACATTTCAAGGGTGTAAATGTAAATGCCAAGGAAGTGGAAGAATTATTTAACATGGTTACAGAACAAAGTAAAATTAGGGAAGAAACAGAGAGAGAGAAAATTTAGGCTAACTATCCAAAAAAAAAAAAATCCTGAATGTAATGTATTAGACCGTTTATACTCTTGATAGGTAAATGGTTTAACATCCCTCATTTAAAACTGGATTGCATGAAGTACAGTACTAGAGAATATACTGCAGGGAAAACCTTGCACAGTCGGAAAGGGCTTGGTCCTCAGATCTGCAAATGCTCCCAATTGTGCTTACCTTTACAAATGCATGTATTGCCCATGAAATCAATGGACTACTCATGTATGAAAGTTTTTGCAGGCCTGCGGTATAAAATTAGTTTTTTTCTGAATCATTTACTGATTTAGTAAATGAAGTAACCACCTTCACTGTAAGTCAGAACAGTAGTCACTTGAGAGATAAACGTATCTCATCCTTCTCATTTTAAGGAATGATAAATCTTGACTTCTATTGTTATATAAAATATTATATTTACGAAAAATCCAAAGAAATGTTAATATTTAAACCGGTAGTTAGTTAGCCTTATAGCAAATATATTTACATTGTATTTATGACTAGACTACAATGAGTCAAACAGAGCAACTTGTAAATTTGCCCATCAGTTTCTTCTGTTTGCAGAGTTAAATTAACTTCTTTGTTTTGCAGTATAGGATATACTGTTAATGAATAAATCAGGAGTTATCAATATTATAGACTGATTCTGTTTTTAGATTTACTAGGGAATTGTAAAATTGTTTTTCATCACAACCACAGGGACAAAGATGCCTGTATTAATGTTGAAGACTTGTCTGTCTGTCTTTTGCGAAATCTAGGTAAGTGGTTTGTGTTTTTTTGTTTTACATACATATTTTAGTAGAGAAACCATTTTTTGAGAGTAAATATCAGTCACTCACTATCTTCATCAAAGGGTTATTCCAAAATGACTTTTGCCTCTTCAGCACTTCATCATAGGACTTTAGCTTGTTTTACAAACTCCTTAAACTTTTTATTGACCTATTCATTCTGGGTGACATCACCTCACTACGGTGTGAATAGCAAATAATAATATACTTGCATGAAACATAGTTTTCAGTCCATCATGGCTGCTGTCAGTTCATTCTGAGATGGTTTAAAAGTCTGTCTTGGTCTTCTGCATTATAATGCGATGCACTCCCAACAATTGTGGTTATGAATTTATTTCTGTTATGAGGAGAGAGAGCTGAGCTTCTTGCATAAGCACGTGACTCCAGGAGCTGGGATTTAAAGTAAAATTGTGAGACAGTGGAAGACACTAATAAATAGAGAGTTTAAGGAACTGTCTTTGCTAGAAATATAATCTGTAACTTTTTATGTGCTCCAAAATTTGAAACAACCAGAAATACCAATGGCCAGTCATTCAGAATATTTATCCTTATGGAGGCTGACTATGTTTGAAGGGATCATTTTAGATGAGAACTGTATTTTCCTGTCTTTTAATCACTTTGTCTTTTAGGACAGTTAATTTGTGACATCTGTTTTAGGGGTTTACTGATGAAAAATTGTTCTAATTCATTCATATTTGAAAAGTATTGCTGGAAAATAAGATTAATATGTAATATATATATATATATATATATATATATATATATATATATATATATT